CTCCACCTAACATCTATTTGGCTTGTCAATTTAATTTCACTACCTCTCTAGCAGCAACTGAGAGCAAAGCAAAATTGAGTTCACCCTGATTGCGATAACTAATATTCCATGAGCTCAAGAATAAACTGTGCATACTTCAGGACATTCAGCTCTGAACTCTGCTTTCCTTTTATGCAAATATAATTTTGCTCATGGCACATTCAGACATGCTTGATTAAACATTAGCTCACTGCTTCCTTCAGCCTTTAGGGTGAAGAAAATTAAGGGGTTTGCTGATAGAGTGGGATTTAGTACAACTTAATCCTGACCCTGGGCAGCCTCTTTATGGGAGCCCCACATGACACTGGGGTCTTTGCCACCCCAGCTCTTCCCCTCTGTGGCTGAGAACTGGGTTTTGTTTGCAAGAGGGATTGTAGATTCTAAGGGTTTCCTCAATGTGTCACTGGAGGGTAGCTTGATGGCTGTATCCAGGCCTGATGAACTAGAGTTGAAGATGGAGTGGCAGATGCAGAGGAAAGGCAGTACTCTTCCTAAATTAACTCAGTGACTTAAATTGTTTTATCATTATTTTTTTAAACTTAACTTTAGATTTTATTGCTGCAGGGAGCTCTGAATGAACAACTCCCTCTACCAAAGCGGACTGGCACCTGCTGATTACAGGCAGCTGGATGCTCTTAAATGAGATATTTCTAAAATGCTTAGCACAGAGCCTGGCATAGAGCAGGTGCTTAATAAATGCTTGTCTGTCTCCCTCCCTCCTTCCTTCTTTTCTTTACTCCTTCCTTCCTCTGTCCCTTCCTGAAATTAAATGATTTGCTTTGGGTCATACAGACAGTATATGGCAGAGGCCAGACTTGAACCTAGATGCGACCCTGCCTTGCAGGAAATCAATTTAAATTATGCAAAGTAGTCAGCAGAGGCATAATTAGCACGGTGTCAAACACATTCTAATCACAGACAGTCCTATTAGAAAGAAGTCATTCCCACAGTTGCCTTTTCTTGGTAGCACTTAGCAGAGTGCCTGGCAGATAGTAAGTGCTTAATAAAAATGCTTGTTGGCTGACTGTTCCTTCTACTCTTTGTAAGTTCCAACTTCCAACACATTTGGTCATTTTAAAGTAATTTCTTCATATCTATTTTACAAAAGACAGAACCTCTTACATAATTCTCATAGCAAATGGGTGACTATAATTTCCTGCAGGTGCACGCTAGACAAATGGCTCATTTATTCTTTCCTAGCGTTTCCAGGAGCCATTTTGCCGCTTGTGATTTTTCAATGGTTAAGCCATATTTGACTTATACTTGCTTCTTTTCAAACCAGTAACTTTCTAAGGAGGTAAAATCAGAAGAATTAAAATCAGTGCCTCCTGTCTTATTAACAAAAAAAAAATTCCCAAGCCCAAAGTTGGACTTGGCAAAACATCACAGTCTTTTGAAATCCCAGTTTGTCAGGTTGCCTAGTGATGGTACCTCCAGCATCTCTTCATAGCACTTGACTAGGTTTTGAAGCTAGCAGTCTTCCAGCTGCCAAGGACTGACTTCAGTTCAGAAGAATTGTTATCTTACTTCTTTCAAATCAAGGCATCCCAAATAACCAGTGCTAGCGGGGCCACACCTGGAGAGGAAGTGCAAACTACACCTTTTCAAAAGGTTCTTAGATACCATCTCATGAAAATTTCTGGTACACTTTAGTAACCTGGAGGTGGAGGCCTGGAAGGCTGAGCTCAACTCTGGAATCTTTCATTCACACTGGTTTGCCCCCCACCCCCCACTAGACCCCACTAGACTAGGTTCCCTATTATCCAAAGGACCAAATATAAAGTCACCTCTCTGGCTTTTAAAGCTCTTTGCAACCTGGCTCCTTCCTGCCTTTCTGAGCATTCTCATACCTCACTCCTCTGATCTGCTGACACTGGACGCTGCGATGCACCTCTGGGCTCTGAGCATTTTTACTAACTCTCTACCACACACGATTTCCTCCTGGCTTCCTTTAAAACTCAGTTAAAATACTCCCTTCTGCAAGAACTCTTTCCCAGTCCCCTCCTCTGTGACTATCTCCCAATGATCTAGTTTATACCTTGTTTGCACATTGTCTTCCCACATTAAGAGTGTAAGTTCTTTGGGAAGGGACCGGTTTTTTATTTTTATTTTGCTTTTTCTTTGTTTGTAAGTTAGCGCTGAGCAGTGCCTGGAATATACTAGGTGCTTAATAAATGCTTGTTGACATGAAAGGCCATGGAGTCCAATCTCTTTATTTTCTTTCTTTCTTTTTTTGGGGAGGGAATTGGGGTTAAGTAACTTGCCCAGAGTTAGACAGCTAGTGAGTGTTATGTGTCTAAGGCCGGATTTGAACTCAGGTCTTCCTGACTCCAGGGCTGGTGTTCTATCCACTGGGCCACCTAGCTGCCCCAATCTCTTTATTTTACAAATGAGGAAACTGAGGCCCACGGAGTTTAAGTGACTTACCCAAAGTCACCCAAGTATTAAGTGTAAGAGGAGATATTTGAACCCAGGTATTCGATTCCACAGCGAGTATTCCTTCCATTGCCCCATACCGCGCCATCCAATAGCATTGATTAAGTATACACTCACGCCTAGAATGACCTCAATACCAGATGCTCAATAAATACTTATTCACTTGAACTGCTAGCTTGAGTTAAGTCAGGTAAATCATCCCCATGCCTGCTCCTAGAGGAGAAAATGCCAGTGTGGTAAACAAACAAATACTGTATATGCAAATGCAAATAAGTAAATATTTTAGGGTTTTCTCCAGTTCTAGAAAATGACATTTTAAAATGGTCCTCAAACTTAATTTTGAATATGAAATTGTAATTCTAATAATTAATAACAATGAAAATAGATAATATGATTATTATAATATAATGATTAATTATCATAACCAATATTGGTAGAGTGCTTTAAGGCTGTAAGCTAGCTGGGTTTGGGGAGTTCCAGGATTAGAGGCCCAGGTAACCACTCTGCCTGCATCAGGCTTACAAAACATTTTATGGACATCTCATATGACCCTCACAATAAACCAGTGAAGTAGTATAGATAAAGCACCCCCATTTTACAGAAGAGAAAACTGAGACTGGGAAGCTAGTATCACAGAGATAGTGAGAGAAGGGATTCAAACCCAGCTGACTCCAAGTTAAGACTCCCTTATGCCACACTTTTTCCTAGCTGAATTCATATAGCACTGTGAGATTTACAAAGAGCTTTTCTCATGACAACAACCCTGAGGGTAGGCAGGACCATAAGAACATATATCCATGTCTGGCAGGAACCTTAGAGACCACTGAGACTACCCCTTCTCCCATTTTACAAATAAGGAAACTGAGGCACAGAGAAGTTAATTAACTTGCTCTGGGTCACACAATAAGCTTTTGAGGGGGGATCTGAACCCAGGTCTTCCTGACTCCAAGTCTAGTGTCCTATCCACTGAACCATTATGCGTTAGTCTTTTATCTCCATTTTACTGCTGAGTAAATGGAGGTTCTGAGAGATTAAAAGATTTGCCCGTGGTCCAGCGAATGGGACTCAGACTCGGGTCTTTTGACTCCAACTTCAGGTACCTTTCCATAACTACATCATAGTCACATCCATATTGGCATATGGTGCCTTGGAAGATCACGCAGCAGTAGAAGTTTACTATAAGAGTAATGATAGAGATAAGATACTGGCTCACACAGACGTACTTTTCCTCTGATTGTAGAATCTGTTTGCATCTGGAGAATATCACAAACATCTGGTAAATCTGATGGCAATACAGCCCATAGTGCCTGTTCTTTTCTACGATTCGAGCTAGGGGATGCCCTACCTTGTTGTTGTTGTTGTTGTTTAGTCATTTTTCAGTTGTGTCGAGCTCTTTGTGACCCCTTTTGGGGTTTTCTTGGCAACCACTGGAGTGGTTTGCCATAACTTCAACTGATTTTACAGATAAGGAAACTGAGGTAAACAGGGTTAAGTGACTTGCTCAGGGTCACACAATTAGTAAGTGTCTGAGGTCATATCTGAACTCCCATCTTCCTCACTCCAGGTCCATTTCTATCCACTGTGCCACTTTGTTGACTCTAAAAACCAACCGATTGTTTCCATTTCCTCTAATTTATGTGAAATGCAACTTTAAGCTGGATCTTTACTCCCTATGAGATAGTGACTACCCATGAATCAGTTGGGTTTATGTTGTCCTCTCTGGCTGATGGGTCCTGAGGATGATCTTCGTGGATGAAAGAAGGATCTCCCAGTAAAATTCATTCAGGTTATACCGCTCAGCATGCCTACCTCAGCATTTCTGTAACATGGCCAGCTGAGATTAATCATGGAGGCCAATGTGCATATGGTTCTAACTGGAGAATGTGAGACAAAGTTTCCAACAGCCTGTGCCTCTAGGAAGAAGATGTGTTTGTTTGAAATGGCCTCTGGCCAGGGAATTCCAGATATGAATTACCCTCATTGACAATGTCTGCATCACTGGAATGTGCAACTTGGATGAAGACATGAGTTAATGCTCATCTTCATTTCATAAAGAACTCATTCTTGAATAGTTAATTTTATTCTAGTCTACCCATGAGAAAGCTCCGAATATTGGACAAAGTATAACCCAGACTCCAAGAACCTTCATCTTCATTCTGCCCTTACTACAGCCACTTCAGCAGCCTGTTGCAGAAAGACTCAGTCTTCTCCAAGCCCTATGTCTACTCCCTACTTCAAGGGCTATCTTCTTTTATGATGACTGAGGTAACACTTCTGCTCAGTCCTCTCTCAATAATACCAGACCCTTGCCCTGTGAATTCAGAAAGCAGGTAGAAAAGAAACCCACTAATGCTTTTGATGCTGAACATTGAAAAAAAAAATACTGTTTTCCTTTTTTTTCCCCTCCCAGTGGAAAAAGTATAAATAAAACCGATCTTCATCCTTTGCCTTACTTGTGAATCTTGGTATGGTGGGTGGAGAAGAAAATTCACAGGTATGGATATGTTGTCCAGGGAGCAACTTACCTCTGCTGTATGTTTTGCCACATTTCCCACAATGACAATAACTTTCCCTTTGAAATTCTGGAGCATGGCAGTGGAAGGGCCTTGGGAGAGCTCTCTTTCTGTGGTGAATGCAGAGTTGAAGGGAATGCTGATGCTACCTGAAATGTGGCCTCGATTAAAACTGAGAATAGGGAAGGTCAAGGAAAATTCAGTGGAGTTAGTGCAGACATGAGAGTGATGGAAAAACCTTAAAGCAGTATCAGAATAAGCACACAATCTTAATATTTATGGCACGTTAGATTTAGGATCAATACATGAAAATACACTAACGATAATAACAACTAGCATTTATATAGTGCCTACTATATGCCAGACACTATACTAAGTAAGCACTTTGCAAATATTTTCTCATTTGATCCTCACAACAACCCCAGGAGGTAGGTGCCATTATTATTCCCATCTTACGGCAAACAAAGTTAGAGTGACCTGTCCAGGGTTCCATAGCTAGTATGGAAGGCTGGATTTGAATTCAGGTCTTCCTGACTCCAGGCCCAGCGTTCTATCTATCGCACACGAATAAACGTAAGAGGTACTGTGGCATAATGGAGAGTGGACCTGAATTCAGCTCCCACCTCTGATACTTACTAGCTGTGTGACCTCTGTAAATCAGCCTCTCAGTGTGCTAGGCAGTTCTCTGAGACCATAAATGGCAGAGAAGATGCTGATATTCATTATAATCAGGAGTCCCTTCTCCTATCCCTACATCAGTACATATTTCTGAGATAACCACTACAAGTAGACAATGAGTTGAGTCAAGAGTTTATTAGGAAAAAAAGAGAGATGGCCAGATGACATCCTTTTACCACAAACACTCTCCCAGGCAGGTCCCAGGGTCAAATCTTGAGACGCCACCATCTTGGAAGAAGGAAAGAAGGGGGGCGGTGACCTAAACAGATATGGAGAGGGGCAAGGCAGATGCCAGGAGACTGCAGCTTACTTCCACTGATGAAGGAAATCATCAAAGAAAAGTATGACTGGGAAAGGAGGTGGGCTTATTGAGCAGTGAGAGGAAGATGGGGAGGGGGTGGTTGTGAAGACATACGGCACAACATTATCATTATGAATTTCACTTGACAAAAATGTATGAATAACTTGAAATCTTCCTTGATAAGGGAAGATATCCAAGCAGATGATAATTACAGTAAATGATATTAGCTACCATTTATATAGCACTTTAAGGTTTATAAAATGGTTTACATTCATTACGTCATTTGACTTTGTATGAAAGTGTGGTCTGTCAGGCTCAAGTATCTCTTCACTCCAATCCATCCTCCACATAGCTGTTAGAGTGATTCCCTACCTCCCTTTTATGATTTAGTATTTTATTTTTCCTTAATTACATGAAAACAATTTTTTAATTCTTTCCATCCCTTTCTGTGCTTCTCATTGAGAAGGCAAGCAGATATAGGTTAGACATGTGTAGTCATACAAAACATATTTCCATATTAGTCATGTTGTAAAAGAAAATACAGACCAAAAAAAAAACCCCAAGAAAAACAAAGGAAATAAAAAAAATCTATGTTTCAATCTGTATTCAGACATCATTAGTTCTTTCTCTGGGGAAGGACAGCATTTTTCATCGTAAGTCCTTCAGAGTTGTCTTAGATCATTGTATTGCTGAGAACAGCTAAATCATTCACAGCTGATCATCTTACAATATTGCTGTTACTGTGTACAATGTTCTCCTGGGTCTGCTCATTTCACTTTGCATCAATCCATTTAAGTCTTTTCAGGTTTTTCTGAGAGCACCCTGCTCATCATAAAGTGATTTTTCTTAAGCACACGTCTGACCACGTCATTTCTCTGCTCGATAAACTCCAGTGGCTCCCTATTACCTTCAGGATCAAACATAGAATCTTCTGTTTGACATTCAAAGCTCTTCAAAACCTGGCCCCTTCCTACCTTTGCAGTCTCCCTATACTTTATTACCCTCCATGCACTCTATGATCCTGTGTTGTTCTTCTAACATGACATTTCTTGTTTTCCCACCTTCTCAACTGGCCTCATTCCTCTAATGCTTTCCCTTCTCACCTCTGTTTTCTAGCTTGTCTGGCTTCCTTCAAATCTCAGCTCACATCCTACCTTCTGCTGAAGGCCTTTCCTGGTGACCCAAGATGCTACTGCCTTCCCTTCTAGATTACTCTCCACCTAATTTGTATGTACCTATTCATTTACATGCTGTTTTTCTCATTAGAATGGAAGCTCCTTGAGGGCCAGGATTGCTTCTGCCCTCTTTGGTTTACCCCAGAATTTAGCCCAGTGCCTGGCACATAGTAAGAGTTTAATAAATGTTTGTGGACCTGACATGTCATTTTGGGATAAAAAGAAGCAAATAGCTCACCAAAAACACATAAAATTCCTTAGGGAACAACGCTGAGTGACTTTCTAAAGTTGTATGGAAATACCTGCTGTGGGAAAGTAAGTACTAAATGGTGCTTGTGAGTCAGGGCTCTTGCAGAGTACCACTGCCTGTCCAGAGTGAGATGCCTCAATTCTCCCTCTTAGACTCAGTTGACTCTTCTTTTCAATCATCTTCCCTTTGAAAGCGGGCAAAGCTGCTGTTCCCTCAGGGATACGGTCATACAGTCATTCTAGCACCTGTGTTTCTGTACTATCCATGCCACCACAGTAGTTCTCACTGACCCCCTGAAATCTTAAAAATACAAAGGGAAGAATGCTGGAAACACTCTGGGATTGCTTTCCACGAGGCATCTTTACAGATATCAAATGTAATTATAATGAATTTTTCTTCTTTCCCTTAACTGCCTTGCTGAAAACCTGAAAAGATGTTTGTGTATCCATGGAAGCTTTTCCTCCTTGCAAGCTGACTCCTCTTCACATGAGTTATCACAAAAGCCTTTTTGTTTCTCTAGTGCCAATCTCACTGAAAGCTTACACTTATTTCTTCTCTCAAGCCATATCAAAGGCTTAACAAAAAACCCATTCAAAAAAAAGCCTCAGTATCTCTGTTTCTCTCCCTCAGCCAATCTGAATAAAGTCATTAGGATACTTATTCCTATAGATTTAAAAGAGTCAGAACACTTAAGCTAGTTTTACAAAGAATAGGGAAGAAGCAAGGGAGAGTCCTTAGGAACATCTCATTCAGTCACTCGTGCAAATGGAGACAGAGAAAATTGGCATTGATTTTTCTTGACCTGATGGTTACTTTGTTGCCTTCCACTGTTTCCGGGGCCACATTTCATTTTTTAACATTAACTGTTACTCTTCCATTTGGGCTACAGTTCTTTTTTCATCTGCATTGTCGTGTGTGTGTGTGTGTGTGTGTGCGCGCGCACAAAATTTTGGCCTACTTTCCCTTGCAATAGTTGTGATGACTGATTATTTCCTATTCTTAATTTTTTAAGGGGGAGGGGAAAAAAGCATTTGCTATTTTCACGAGGAAAAGCATCACAAAACTTCAGGAAATATCAAAGGGAGATAGGACTGACTCCAACATCCTGGTGTCCATTGCTTACACCTAATTTGGAAGAGGCTAAGAATTAATGATCACTGATACATCCCCCTTCTTGGATTTCATCAGCACAGGGAGTATAAAGGTTTGAACACACCCAACATGCAAAAAATGGTATGAACAACAGCCCTCAGCACATAATTGCTTTGCCAGCACTTTCACCTTTGGTAAATAAGTACTTTAAAAATCAAAGTTTCCCACACCACAAATTAAGAACATGACAACCTGAATGAGCCTAGAGAATTTATCTTTATTTATCAGTCCTAAATCAGGTTGCCAGAGACAGCTCCTGCATTTGTTAAACAGCACTTCAGAACTAATAACATTTTCTTTTGCCTTAGTGTCTTAATAGTAAAGCGATGATATATAAATCAGTTACACTCAAGGCTCACTGAAGGTTAGATCATAGGAATCCTATTTTTTAAAAAGCAACTTGGATTAAATATATGAAGGACCACAAAGTGTGTGACATACTGAAACAAAATGAAATTATTCCTCCCTACTACACACAATGTGGACAGTACTTGGAAGACTGAAAATTTAATAATTCCAACTTCAGTAGCAAAGGCAGCTAAAAAAAAAAGCAAACTGAAAGAGTGTTTTGATTTATAATGGTCATTTACACTCCGTTCTAGCCTCAACCAGCACATTTGGGAGTCATTGTACATCTGGATGGGTTTCAGAAAAGTCAAGGCTCTGGTCTAGTGAATTCAAAAGTGGGTGTATCCATTTTTCATACCTGTCTACTTCTCCTTTAGGCAAAAGTGTTCTTCAGTCACAAACAATATGAACTTGTAATCTTGCTTGAGTTTTTTATGGTTGTGTCCTTTAGTCTGAGGTACAAATACATTTCCAATATGAATAATAGAATGTTTAATAAAATAAGACTATAGTCAGAATTTAACTGATTAAGGACAGGTGGCCCATAACAAAATTCAAAATAAGGCCAAACCTTTTAAAACATGTTCAGTTAATTTAATATCTTCCTCTGAAGTTCATAAGTTTAGTTAAGGGAGGAAACACACACAAAAGCCAGGAAAAAATATAAGAAGAAAAAAAAATGGTGTCTTCTATTATTCCCATTGTAGTCCAAACAAAAAGTACTGGAAAATATCCAAGAACACCTACTTTCCTTATGAAACTTCCAATCCAAATAAGTTTGGTAAGCATGAAACTTTATGAATGGGCATCTTAAAATCTTTCATTCTTAACTGCAATATTACCAAATAGGCCAGGAAGAAAGGGGGTGGCCTAATGGCACATTTGTGCCTTTACAATGGCCTTAATTTTCTGTTTAATCAAGTTAGACAATGCATAAACTGAATTATTCAAGGAACTGATTTTCTCTAGTTATTACTGGAGCTTTAGCACCTCTAACCCCAAATCTTATGGGCAAAGGAAGGGAAAAGTGTGTAACATGGAGTAGACATTTTTTACTCTTATTCCCATAATTTTTAAGACTGTTGAAGATATTTCTTTTACCAACTTTTCAGATCTTCCTATTACACATATTAAAAAATTAAACCTCTGAAAAATGCACACTTCATAAAATGTTGAAATTTTTGTCTGGATAGGGCAAGGTAGTAATGGAGTAGTGAAGAAGCTGCCAGCTTATGGATATATGAAGTCCCTGCCGGTTTAAGGATATA